CACACACACACACACACACACACACACACACACACACACACACACACGAGGTCTTGGACACACCTGAACTTGATGAGCATACCAAAGTGCACTGCTGTGCTCCGAAACAGAATATCATGATCATATTCTCACATTTGAAAACATTACCATAACTTTCTAGCACACACGAACACACAAAATAAAAGTTTTACAACAGTAGTATTGAAATTTACAATGGAAACCAAATGCAAACATACACAGAGAGAGCCCCATAAAGTCCCTCTGTTGTCTGGGGTCAGTGAAGTGAAAGAGCAGACAGGCGGCGGCAGGAAAGAGTGAGAAAACAAAAGGTTTCTAACAGAGAAAATGTAAACTGTGTAGAAATACAAGACATTGTTGGAATGGTTAGAGAGAAGATGATGGTAGGAATAAATAGAGTTCATGCCCTGTTGTGGCCTTAGTGTAATATTTCTGAACTTTTCCATGACATTCATGATCCAAATGAAACAGTGTTATGTTTCTTTAAAAATGTTGGACTGAAAACCAACAGCTAACATGATCAAAATTACTTGCGGCTCGCTTCCCGTAAAGTGACGCAATTGCAAAACAGCTTCCCAATTCCTGACTTCTTTGAGTTGATGACACAGCTCAGACTGACAGACCAACAGAGGTGAAGAGAGAGAGAAAAAAGCAGCAACAGCTAAAGCATAACCCCATCTACTGCAGTAAAAACACACACACCTTGTGTTTCTTCTTGCGGTGATGTGGGAGGGCCTTGCTGGGCTTTGCATTGGTTTTGCTGGCCGTGGAGCCCATGTCTCGTTTAATGAAGACACACACACACACACACCCTTCAGTCCTCTCTCTCACACACTGTTTTCCACTGGTGATAGAGGGAGAGAATCACTCTCTCTCTCTCTCTCTCTCTCTCTGCCCTCCTGCTGAATGAAGCCCTCTCTCTTTCTGTTACCGACTTCCACTCCTCCCACTCTCTACCTGTTCACCACCCGGTCCTCCCTCCTCCCTCCATCTGTTTCTCCTTCTCTTGCCTGAATACTGTGCAATGGAGGAATGAGAGTTATTTCTGCACCATCTTTTCTTATCTCCCTTTCTCTTGTTCCCTATCAGTTGCTAACACACAAATCTGGTGTCTCTGCATTTCAGTCATATCCTTTTTAACGTTCTACTTTCTTTGTCTATTTAAAGTTTGTTGGAGGTTAAAGAAAGTTTGCAGGGACAATTTCTTCAAACTTAAGCTTTACAGCACTGAAGACAAGAACATAAGACGTAAACATGTTTTTTAATTCAGAGTAGTACTTTCTCCCACCACAAAACACTTGTTCTCTTGTTTGTTTTCAAAACAGTAAATACTTAATGTAACAGAAAAAAGGAGAAATGAGAATTCAAAAGAAAAGGAAAAAAAGCATCTGGAATACATAAATAATCCATCATTTAACTTCAAAAATACATTTTTAGCGTTGAGATTTTAATTATACTCCCTTACAGTGTCAGGGAGTCCTTTACAACGCTTCCTTCCATGTATGGTAACATATGAAACACTCCCAAAGTGGACAAAATAGATGGTAAAGAAGTTGCGCTGAAAACGTTAGACCAGCGTGGGTTTTCAGAGTTAAGTATAGGTCTACAGATAACCCCAGCCAACCAAACTAAAGCCCCAACCCCTTTCGCTAAACCAAAGCCCCACCCCAACCCACAGCTCAAGGAAGAAAATGTACAGTTTATATTCCCCAGTCACCTTTCAAGTGTGTAGGACAGATTAGATAGCATTGGTATTTGTGCTTTCGATAAAAAACACACACACACACACACACACACACACACACACACACACACACACA